AGGAGTGACTCCGACGTTGCACGCGCATGCTGGTGGTCCTGGGGATGGGGCGGACCTCTGATGACGACAGCGGCGGTGTCTGACGCGGTGCTCTTTCTACAGGCGGCGAGCGCAGCTCCTCCAGCGGAGCGTCCGTCGAGGAGGATCCTGGAGAGGTGTCCGTCGACGAGGGCCCCGAGCTGGACGAGCTCAAACAAGAGGCTGATCAGCTGGGGCTGGTGGTGTCGGCGTGCTTCTCGCTGCAGGACGAGCAGTGCCCCGCGGAGGACGCGGCGAGGAGCGGCCCTGGGGATGACGAGGTGCAGCCCGAGCAGCGCGACGAAGATAAAGAAGTGGCGGGTGGTGCGGCCGTTCTTCGTGCCGTCCGGGATGGAACCCGCGTCACTCAGCCGGTGCAGAACAAACAGCAGGACGACCAGAAGGCCTCGCGGGTGCTGCGGGAGAAGCAGCTCGGCCGGAAGAACACCGGCAGCGGAAGTAAAAGCAGTACCAGTGGCGCTCTGCAGGCGAACTCGCGCAGGCGCACCGGAGGGGCCTTTAAATGCGAAGTTTGCGAAAAGAGTTTTGCATGGGCGAGTTCACTAAAGACGCACAAAATGTTCCACACTGGTGAAAAACCATTTGGCTGTGACCTCTGCCCAATGCGTTTCACTCTGAAAGGCAATCTTGCCGCTCACGTGAGAAAACACACCGGTGAAAAGCCTTTCAATTGTGACGTATGTAAAATGCGTTTTACCCAGAAAGGCAATCTTGTCGATCACATGAGGACACACACTGGTGAAAAGCCTTTTAAGTGTGACGTATGTAAAATGCGTTTTACTTTGAAAGGCAGTCTTGTCAAGCACGTGAGGACACACACTGGTGACAAGCCATTCACGTGTGATGTGTGTAGCAAGGCTTTTAGTGTATTATCAAATCTCAAGAGACACAAAACGATTTGTATCTCAATTTAAATTGATTTATTTTTCATGCTCTAAATTTTGCAAAACCATATGAGGTAGTTTTTCAGCAATGTTTGTGAATAATACATTTTTGTTTCTTCATTGTATTACGAATAAATAGGACTGCTGGCAGATTTCATGTACCCGCTGTCTTCCATTTTGCTCTCCTCTTCTAAATGCCGGTTATGTCGCGGTCCTTAGACATCGACGAAAGTCTCTGACAAGGCTCTCTTGTTCCAGGTCGCGATCTTATGTCCTCATTCAGCAGCTGGGTGACGCCCGGGGAGGATCCTGGAGAGGCCACCGCATCGAGCTGAGGCAGGACGGTCGGGCATGCCTCACATGAGCCGTGTGAACTGAGTCCCGGCGAGCCAACGGCCAGTGTCCCCGCAGG